ACACACACACACCTCCACTACACTACTGTGGACTATAGCGTTCCTACTGCACCACCCACAGGTACACACACACACACACACACACACACACCTCCACTACACTACTGTGGACTATAGCGTTCCTACTGCACCACCCACAGGTACACACACACACACACACACACACACACACACCTCCACTACACTACTGTGGACTATAGCGTTCCTACTGCACCACCCACAGGTACACACACACACACACACACACACCTCCACTACACTACTGTGGACTATAGCGTTCCTACTGCACCACCCACAGGTACACACACACACACACACACACACACACACCTCCACTACACTACTGTGGACTATAGCGTTCCTACTGCACCACCCACAGGTACACACACACACACACACACACACACACACCTCCACTACACTACTGTGGACTATAGCGTTCCTACTGCACCACCCACAGGTACACACACACACACACACACACACACACACACACCTCCACTACACTACTGTGGACTATAGCGTTCCTACTGCACCACCCACAGGTACACACACACACACACACACACACACACACACACACACACACACACACCTCCACTACACTACTGTGGACTATAGCGTTCCTACTGCACCACCCACAGGTACACACACACACACACACACACACACACACACACACACACACACACACACACACCTCCACTACACTACTGTGGACTATAGCGTTCCTACTGCACCACCCACAGGTACACACACACACACACACACACACACACACTACACTACTGTGGACTATAGCGTTCCTACTGCACCACCCACAGGTACACACACACACACACACACACACACACACCTCCACTACACTACTGTGGACTATAGCGTTCCTACTGCACCACCCACAGGTACACACACACACACACACACACACACACCTCCACTACACTACTGTGGACTATAGCGTTCCTACTGCACCACCCACAGGTACACACACACACACACACACACACACACACACCTCCACTACACTACTGTGGACTATAGCGTTCCTACTGCACCACCCACAGGTACACACACACACACACACACACACACACACACACACACACACACACACACACCTCCACTACACTACTGTGGACTATAGCGTTCCTACTGCACCACCCACAGGTACACACACACACACACACACACACCTCCACTACACTACTGTGGACTATAGCGTTCCTACTGCACCACCCACAGGTACACACACACACACACACACACACACACACACACACCTCCACTACACTACTGTGGACTATAGCGTTCCTACTGCACCACCCACAGGTAGGCAAGGCAAGTTTATTTATATAGCACATTTCATACACAATGGCAATTCAAAGTGCTTTACATAAAAAAATCCAAAGAAATAGGAATAATTAAAACAGTTAGGAATAAAGAGATTAAAATAATCAAAAGAAATAAGAATAATTAAAACAGTTTAGAATAAAAAATAAAATAAAGTACAGTACAAACACACCAAGATTCCTGACGTGATTTTTAGTTGTTAGACCCCTAGCGTCAAGGTATGCATTCACCTTGAGAACTTCCTCTTTGTTGCCAAACGCAATGACTTCAGTTTTGTCTTTGTTTAACTGAAGAGAGTTTTTGCACATCCAACTGTTTACTTCATCAATGCATTGGCACAGGGAGTCAATGGGGCTGTAGTCGTTAGGGGATAGGGCTAAGTAGAGCTGTGTGTCGTCTGCATAGCTGTGGTAAGAGATTCGGTTCTTTCTCATTATTTGGCTCATTGGGAGCATGTACAGGTTGAATAGGAGTGGCGCACGAATTGAGCCTTGAGGGACTCCGCATGTCATGGATGTCCACTCAGACTTATGGTCTCCTATACTCACATAATAACCTCTCCCTTCCAAGTATGACCTGAACCATTTTAGAACTATCCCAGAAAGCCCGACCCAGTTTTCCAGCCTGTCAAGAAGTATGTCGTGATCGACAGTGTCAAATGCAGCACTGAGGTCGAGTAGTACCAGCACTGATAATTTGCCTTTATCAGTATTTAAGCGAATATCATTTATTATCTTTATGAGCGCTGTCTCTGTGCTGTGATGCGATCTAAAACCAGATTGAAAATTGTCAAAGTATCCATTAGAGCTTAAGAATTTGTTCAGCTGATTGAAGACAACTTTTTCAATGATCTTGCCTATGAAAGGAAGATTTGAGATCGGTCTATAGTTGCTTAATAAGGTCTTATCCAGATTGCTCTTTTTCAGGAGGGGCTTGACAACTGCAGTTTTCAGGGAGTTTGGAAAATTCCCAGAGATAAGTGAGGCATTTACCACTTCTAGGAGATCTGCTTCTAAACAGTTTAACACACTTTTGAAGAAAGATGTGGGAAGTGCGTCAAGGGCGCAGGTTGATGTTTTAAGGTGCTGTACGGTTTCTTCCAAAATTTTGCCATCAATTTCATCAAAATCAGACATAGTAGCTGCTTTCTCAGGTTGTGGTCTGATCTGTCTGACCCCAGTGCAGCTCAATGATGTGCTGATCACCTTTCTGATATTATTGATTTTCTCAGAGAAGAACGAAGCAAACTCCCTGCACTTGCTGTCTGAGAGCATTTCACTGGGAATCTGGCTTGGGGGGTTTGTCAGTCTCTCTACAGTAGCAAAAAGTGTGCGTGTGTTGTTTAAGTTGCTGTTTATAATATTTGAGAAGAAAGTCTGTCTAGCTTTGCCTAGTTCCATATTGAAAGCATGGATGGTGTCTTTGTAGATGTTATAATGGACTACAAGTTGTGTCTTCCGCCACATGCGCTACACACACACACACACACACACACTACACTACTGTGGACTATAGCGTTCCTACTGCACCACCCACAGGTACACACACACACACACACTACACACACCTCCACTACACTACTGTGGACTATAGCGTTCCTACTGCACCACCCACAGGTACACACACACACACACACACTACACACACACCTCCACTACACTACTGTGGACTATAGCGTTCCTACTGCACCACCCACAGGTACACACACACACACACACACACACACCTCCACTACACTACTGTGGACTATAGCGTTCCTACTGCACCACCCACAGGTACACACACACACACACACTACACACACCTCCACTACACTACTGTGGACTATAGCGTTCCTACTGCACCACCCACAGGTACACACACACACACACACACTACACACACACCTCCACTACACTACTGTGGACTATAGCGTTCCTACTGCACCACCCACAGGTACACACACACACACACACACACACCTCCACTACACTACTGTGGACTATAGCGTTCCTACTGCACCACCCACAGGTACACACACACACACACACACACACACACTCTCACACACACACTGCACTACTGTGGACTATAGCGTTCCTACTGCACCACACACAGGTACACACACACACACACACACTACACACACACCTCCACTACACTACTGTGGACTATAGCGTTCCTACTGCACCACACACAGGTACACACACACACACACACACACACACACCTCCACTACACTACTGTGGACTATAGCGTTCCTACTGCACCACCCACAGGTACACACACACACACACACACACACACCTCCACTACACTACTGTGGACTATAGCGTTCCTACTGCACCACCCACAGGTACACACACACACACACACACTACACACACCTCCACTACACTACTGTGGACTATAGCGTTCCTACTGCACCACCCACAGGTACACACACACACACACACACTACACACACCTCCACTACACTACTGTGGACTATAGCGTTCCTACTGCACCACCCACAGGTACACACACACACACACACACACACACCTCCACTACACTACTGTGGACTATAGCGTTCCTACTGCACCACCCACAGGTACACACACACACACACACACACACACACACACCTCCACTACACTACTGTGGACTATAGCGTTCCTACTGCACCACCCACAGGTACACACACACACACACACACACTACACACACCTCCACTACACTACTGTGGACTATAGCGTTCCTACTGCACCACCCACAGGTACACACACACACACACACTACACACACCTCCACTACACTACTGTGGACTATAGTGTTCCTACTGCACCACCCACAGGTACACACACACACACACACTACACACACCTCCACTACACTACTGTGGACTATAGCGTTCCTACTGCACCACCCACAGGTACACACACACACACACACACACACACACACACCTCCACTACACTACTGTGGACTATCCGGTTGTTAAGTCGTGACGTAACCACTCTCCGATAATACTGTTTCCGGGTCCAAAGGCCGGGTCCTCTCTACCTACCTACCGCTTTCGCCCGAGTTTTAACGTGTTCCCGTGTTGTTTAAATAGATCGGAGTTAAAAAACAAGTGACATTCAACTGTCATTCTACCGCTTTCCCTGTGACGAGAAAGATAAGAGAAAATGGCTGCAGTTGATAAGGTAAGTTACAAATCTTAAACGAATGAAGAAACTTTGGCGCCAGTGGGTGCTATCCCTTAATCCCTAGTAACACCCACTGGCACTGAAGCGAAAAAAGCCCTTAAGAAAAGGGTTTATTTAGTCTAGGATCTGGAGTGGACGAGCGGAGCGCTTGGGCCCGGAAGAGGCTAAACGTCACGCGTGACGTCAGACTTAACAACCGAATAGCGTTCCTACTGCACCACCCACAGGTACACACACACACACACACACACACACACACACACACACACTACTGTGGACTATAGCGTTCCTACTGCACCACCCACAGGTACACACACACACACACACTCTCTCTCTCACACACACACACACACACACACACACACACACACACACACACACACACACACACACACACACACCTCCACTACACTACTGTGGACTATAGCGTTCCTACTGCACCACACACAGGTACACACACACACACACACACACACACTCTCACACACACACACACACACACACACCTCCACTACACTACTGTGGACTATAGCATTCCTACTGCACCACACACAGGTACACACACACACACACTCTCTCACACACACACACACACACACACACACCTCCACTACACTACTGTGGACTATAGCATTCCTACTGCACCACACACAGGTACACACACACACTCTCTCACACACACACACACACACATACACACACCTCCACTACACTACTGTGGACTATAGCATTCCTACTGCACCACACACAGGTACACACACACACACTCTCACACACACACTGCACTACTGTGGACTATAGCGTTCCTACTGCACCACACACAGGTACACACACACACAGTTACACACACACACTTACACACACACACTGTGCTGCAGGTGCAGGATCGTGTTCACGCTGAGCTGGATGAGTGTGTGGGTCGGGATCGTCCTCCGTCTCTCAGTGATCGATCGAGTCTCCCGTTCCTGGACGCCGTCGTGTGTGAGGTGATGCGTATCCGACCCGTCAGCCCGATCCTCATCCCACACGTCGCTATGCAGGACACCAGGTAACCATGGCAATAGCGGAGTCAACCCTGCTGGTTACCATGGCAATAGCGGATTCAACCCTGCTGGTTACCATGGCAGCAGCGGAGTCAACCCTGCTGGTTACCATGGTGACGGAGATACATCATAATTAGAATATTAGATCCAGGGTTTTGTCATTGCTCATGCAGTGAAACGTTTCAATGGTGCAAAACTTCTGAGATGATTGACGTTAGACTTTTTTAGCAAGTAAAAGACTTTTAGTCTTTATATATATATATATACATATATACACTCACCGGCCACTTTATTAGGTACCCCATGCTAGTAACGGGTTGGACCCCCTTTTGCCTTCAGAACTGCCTCAATTCTTCGTGGCATAGATTCAACAAGGTGCTGGAAGCATTCCTCAGGGAGTTTGGTCCATATTGACATGATGGCATCACACAGTTGCTGCAGATTTGTCGGCTGCACATCCATGATGCGAATCTCCCGTTCCACCACATCCCAAAGATGCTCTATTGGGTTGAGATCTGGTGACTGTGGAGGCCATTTTAGTACAGTGAACTCATTGTCATGTTCAAGAAACCAATTTGAAATGATTAGAGCTTTGTAACATGGTGGAAGTAGCCATCAGAGGATGGGTACATGGTGGCCATAAAGGGATGGACATGGTCAGAAACAATGCTCAGGTAGGCCGTGGCATTTAAACGATGCCCAATTGGCACTAAGGGGCCTAAAGTGTGCCAGGAAAACATCCCCCACACCATTACACCACCACCACCAGCCTGCACAGTGGTAACAAGGCATGATGGTTCCATGTTCTCATTCTGTTTACGCCAAATTCTGACTCTAACATCTGAATGTCTCAACAGAAATCGAGACTCATCAGACCAGGCAACATTTTTCCAGTCTTCAACTGTTCAATTTTGGTGAGCTCTTGCAAATTGTAGCCTCTTTTTCCTATTTGTAGTGGAGATGAGTGGTACCCGGTGGAGTCTTCTGCTGTTGTAGCCCATCCGCCTCAAGGTTGTGCGTGTTGTGGCTTCACAAATGCTTTGCTGCATACCTCGGTTGTAACGAGTGGTTATTTCAGTCACTGTTGCCCTTCTATCAGCTCGAACCAGTCTGGCCATTCTCCTCTGACCTCTGGCATCAACAAGGCATTTCCGCCCACAGAACTGCCGCTCACTGGATGTTTTTTCTTTTTCGGACCATTCTCTGTAAACCCTAGAGATGGTTGTGCGTGAAAATCCCAGTAGATTAGCAGTTTCTGAAATACTCAGACCAGCCCTTCTGGCACCAACAATCATGCCACGTTCAAAGTCACTCAAATCAACTTTCTTCCCCATACTGATGCTCGGTTTGAACTGCAGGAGATTGTCTTGACCATGTCTACATGCCTAAATGCACTGAGTTGCCGCCATGTGATTGGCTGCTTAGAAATTAAGTGTTAACGAGCAGTTGGACAGGTGTACCTAATAAAGTGGCCGGTGAGTGTATATATATATATATATATAGTATACAGTTGTCTTCCAGTAGGCACATTTGAGATGGAGTGAGTTGGTCATAGTGATGCTCACCTTACAGAGAGATGTTTGATATCCCATAATGCCTCTCTTCTGCAGTTTGGGGGGGCACACAGTTCCCAAAGGAACCCGGGTTTTGGTGAACATGTGGGCGATCCATCATGACCCCAAACACTGGGATGAACCTGACACATTCAGACCAGGTGAGAAAACGACAACCCGCCAAAATACAAGTCTGGTTTAACTTGAAGAAATGATGACAGAAATATATTACTGTTGTACTGTAGAGTGTACTACTCAAAGTAATACTAATAATTAATACAATTATTAAAACTTCATTTTTTAAGGCATATCATAGTTTTTTCTTCCACGTTTTAATTTTAACAGTGAAACTTTATTTGCCAAAAAATTAAAATAATTGTTACATTTTTATTTGATCACGTTTAAAAATCCCTTCATGTAATTATTTTTGATAATATATTTGCATTAAATCATACAGTACATCCAGAAAACACAGAATTTCTGAAAAAATAAAACAAAAATTTCACAGGGCCCTATTGTAAAAAATATTTAATAAATTATTAAATTGTTAGTGTTTTATGGATTTTTTGACACGTTTTTTTATGACTAAAAATTAATTAAATCATTAAAACGGAATCCAGAAAAATTTAAAAATGGAATTTGGGAAAAAAATAAAACCAATTTCATAACCATAACTTAATAGAATTTAGTCAAATTTGATGTCTCATGATTTCAATTAATTAGACATGCTTTTTGATTAATACAAATGTAATTGAAATGCATAAATCTTGAAAAAAAGGCTTAAATTATTTTAGTGCGGAATACAGAAAAATTTAAATGGAAAAACATGGAATTTGGGAGAAATATAATGGAATTTTAGTGAAAAAATAAATAAATAAAAGGATTTAATAGGGCTCTAAAAATGTCATTTTTATTTAACTTTCAATAAATTGCTGATAAATTGTATGAGTTTCATGATTTTAATTAATTGCATTACTAAATGTAATGTAACCATTTAAACGGAATTCAGAAAAAAACTATGTTTTATTATTAGGGCCCTAAAATGTACTTTTTTAAAACTTAAGAAATTTTTTGTAAAATTGTAAATGTCTCATGATTGCAATTAATTAGACATGTTTTTGGATGAATACAAATGTACTTAAAATGCACAAATCTTGAAAAAAGGCTTAAGTGCGGAATCCAGAAAAATTTAAACAAAAAAAAATGGAACTTGAGAGAAATATAATGGAATTTTGGAGAAAAAAAATTAAATGGATTTAATAGTGCTCTAAAATTTTTATTTGAATGTAACTTTCAATAAATTGTTCTTAAACTGTATAAGCTTCATGATTTCAAAAAATTACATTTTAATGACTAAATTTAATGTAACAATTTAAACGGAATTTTTATTATTATTATTGGGTCTCATTTCCAGCTGCAGATATTTGTTAAACACTTTGACTGTAGTTTCAGCACCAGACCTGTGTGTTTCTGAACCCTTCACAGAACGGTTCCTCGACTCGTCAGGGAAAAGAACGACTCCTGCCAGTTTTCTCCCGTTCGGCGCTGGTCCTCGCGTGTGTGTGGGAGAATCTCTGGCCAGGATCGAGCTGTTCCTGTTCGTCAGTCGCCTCCTACAGCGCTTCCGCTTCAGCGTCCCGTCGGGAGCTTCATTACCAGACCTGACGGGCCGGTTTGGGGTCGTGCTTCAACCTCAGCGCTACACTGTTCGAGTCACACCGCGACACTGAGCCCGAACTGCAGTCTCCTCTGTTAGACACCAGGTGGCGGCACTGAGTCATTCATCACTTAAAGGGACAGTGCATCCAAAAATGAAAATTAGCCCATGATTTACTCACCCTCATGTCATCCTAGGTGTATATGACATTCTTCTTTCAGACGAATACAATCTGAGTTATATTAAAAAATATCCAAGCTTTATAATGGCAGTGAATGGCTGTTTCTGTTTTGAAGTCCATAAAAGTGCATCTATCCATCATAAAAGTGCATCTATCCATCATAAATGTGCATCCATCCATCATAAAAGTGCATCTATCCATCATAAAAGTGCATCTATCCATCATAAAAGTGCATCTATCCATCATAAAAGTGTATCCATCCATCATAAAAGTGCATCTATACATGATAAAAGTGCATCTATCCATCATAAAAGTGCATCTATCCATCATAAAAGTGCATCTGTCCATCATAAAAGTGCATCTATACATGATAAAAGTGCATCTATCCATCATAAAAGTGCATCTATCCATCATAAAAGTGCATCTATCCATCATAAAAGTGCATCTGTCCATCATAAAAGTGCATCTGTCCATCATAAAAGTGCATCTATCCATCATAAAAGTGCATCTGTCCATCATAAAAGTGCATCAATCCATCATAAAAGTGCATCTATCCATCATAAAAGTGCATCCATCCATCATAAAAGTGCATCTATCCCTCATAAAAGTGCATCTATCCATCATAAAAGTGCATCTATCCATCATAAAAGTGTATCCATCCATCATAAAAGTGCATCTATCCCTCATAAAAGTGCATCAATCCATCATAAAAGTGCATCAATCCATCATAAAAGTGCATCCATCCATCATAAAAGTGCATCAATCCATCATAAAAGTGCATCTATCCATCATAAAAGTGGATCTATCCATCATAAAAGTGCATCTGTCCATCATAAAAGTGCATCTATCCATCATAAAAGTGCATCTATCCATCATAAAAGTGCATCTATCCATCATAAAAGTGCATCAATCCATCATAAAAGTGCATCTGTCCATCATAAAAGTGGATTTATCCATCATAAAAGTGCATCTATCCATCATAAAAGTGCATCAATCCATCATAAAAGTGCATCTGTCCATCATAAAAGTGCATCTGTCCATCATAAAAGTGCATCTGTCCATCATAAAAGTGGATCTGTCCATCATAAAAGTGCATCTGTCCATCATAAAAGTGGATCTATCCATCATAAAAGTGCATCTGTCCATCATAAAAGTGCATCTGTCCATCATAAAAGTGGATCTGTCCATCATAAAAGTGCATCTATCCATCATAAAAGTGCATCAATCCATCATAAAAGTGCATCTATCCATCATAAAAGTGGATCTATCCATCATAAAAGTGCATCTATCCATCATGAAAGTGCATCTACCATCATAAAAGTGCATCAATCCATCATAAAAGTGCATCTATCCATCATAAAAGTGCATCTGTCCATCATAAAAGTGCATCTGTCCATCATAAAAGTGCATCTGTCCATCATAAAAGTGCATCTGTCCATCATAAAAGTGCATCTGTCCATCATAAAAGTGCATCTATCCATCATAAAAGTGCATCTGTCCATCATAAAAGTGCATCTGTCCATCATAAAAGTGCATCTGTCCATCATAAAAGTGGATCTATCCATCATAAAAGTGCATCTGTCCATCATAAAAGTGCATCTGTCCATCATAAAAGTGCATCTGTCCATCATAAAAGTGCATCTGTCCATCATAAAAGTGGATCTGTCCATCATAAAAGTGCATCTGTCCATCATAAAAGTGGATCTGTCCATCATAAAAGTGCATCTATCCATCATAAAAGTGCATCTGTCCATCATAAAAGTGGATCTATCCATCATAAAAGTGCATCTATCCATCATAAAAGTGAATCTATCCATCATAAAAGTGCATCTGTCCATCATAAAAGTGGATCTGTCCATCATAAAAGTGCATCTGTCCATCATAAAAGTGAATCTGTCCATCATAAAAGTGCATCTATCCATCATAAAAGTGAATCTATCCATCATAAAAGTGCATCTGTCCATCATAAAAGTGCATCTGTCCATCATAAAAGTGCATCTATCCAACATAAAAGTGAATCTGTCCATCATAAAAGTGCATCTATCCATCATAAAAGTGAATCTATCCATCATAAAAGTGGATCTATCCATCATAAAAGTGGATCTATCCAACATAAAAGTGAATCTATCCATCATAAAAGTGCATCTATCCATCATAAAAGTGAATCTATCCAACATAAAAGTGGATCTATCCATCATAAAAGTGCATCTATCCATCATAAAAGTGAATCTATCCATCATAAAAGTGCATCTATCCATCATAAAAGTGGATCTATCCAACATAAAAGTGAATCTATCCATCATAAAAGTGCATCTATCCATCATAAAAGTGAATCTATCCAACATAAAAGTGGATCTATCCATCATAAAAGTGCATCTATCCATCATAAAAGTGAATCTATCCATCATAAAAGTGCATCTGTCCATCATAAAAGTGGATCTGTCCATCATAAAAGTGCATCTGTCCATCATAAAAGTGGATCTGTCCATCATAAAAGTGCATCTATCCATCATAAAAGTGCATCTGTCCATCATAAAAGTGCATCTGTCCATCATAAAAGTGCATCTGTCCATCATAAAAGTGGATCTGTCCATCATAAAAGTGCATCTGTCCATCATAAAAGTGGATCTGTCCATCATAAAAGTGCATCTATCCATCATTAAAGTACATCTATCCATCATTAAAGTGCATCTGTCCATCATAAAAGTGCATCTGTCCATCATAAAAGTGGATCTATCCATCATAAAAGTGCATCTGTCCATCATAAAAGTGCATCTGTCCATCATAAAAGTGGATCTGTCCATCATAAAAGTGCATCTGTCCATCATAAAAGTGGATCTGTCCATCATAAAAGTGCATCTATCCATCATTAAAGTACATCTATCCATCATTAAAGTGCATCTGTCCATCATAAAAGTGCATCTGTCCATCATAAAAGTGGATCTATCCATCATAAAAGTGCATCTGTCCATCATAAAAGTGCATCTGTCCATCATAAAAGTTCATCTATCCATCATAAAAGTGCATCTATCCATCATAAAAGTGCATCATAAAAGTGCATCTATCCATCATAAAAGTGCATCATAAAAGTGCATCTGTCCATCATAAAAGTCCATCATAAAAGTGCAACGCCTGTGCATCGAACATGAAATATAACATAAATACCATTGATTTCTCAAACACAAACTATGTTTCTTCGAACAATTTTACCTTTTGAGTTTTTTACTTGGTAAAGGTTTTGGCACTTGAAATTTGAGCATAAAAAAAATCATGGACCTGCTTCGAAAAGGTTAAATGGTCCTGATAAAGAATACTCACACTTGTGTTTCTCGCGGTCAGAAATGACGCATTGTAAATGAATGGAGAGTTTCCTCTAGTGGAAGCGTGTGGTACTGCAGCCGAACACACTCTCACTGAACGCTCGTCTACTGAGATATCAGACTCAGATTTAAAACACAACTTGTTTAGATTTATGTCTTTGATTAACTCAGTTCTAGAGTGCAACATGTTTTGGGAAAATATATGTTTCATATCAAAATAAAACTAGTATTATTGTGCATTTTTCATGACCAAAAACCTTTTAAGTTTAAACTTTTTTCACTCCAGCAATAATCTTCTTTAAAAAGAGACCAAACTTAAGTTGAACATTATCAAACTAAAATATAGCCTACATTCATTTCATTCAAATAATGTATATATATACTGTGTGTGTGTGTGTGTATTTGACCTTTTGCAAGAAGCAGGTCAAAGGTTTCTGTTCTCTGCATGAAGTAACGTCTTGTTTTACACGAATGGATTAAATAAAACAAAATTATTAATTCCATTTAATTTAATCAAACACAATTGATCAGTTCTCTTTAAAGCACCAGTGATTCATAAAACACCATTTACAATCAGTCCCTGTCACACACACACACACACACTCACTGGGCAAACAGAGATTACAAAGACAGGCTGCTAATTGTGTGGTTTCAGTAAAGCGTTTAGTCTTTAAATGTTTGAATTACACCGTTCACAGCGCCGCACATCAACGTCAAACACACTCTATTGCTCACACTAGAGTGGGTCGTCATAGTAACGCCATGGTAACGCAACAGTGATGCTGGTAACACTGTCGATATTCTAAGATGGAACACAGAACCCCTCTGACAACATTAAACAGCAGCACACCAAACACTCCGATCAGCATGCGTACAAAATAGAGATCATTTCATATCGAGCTTATATATTCATCTGAAGCTACTAGATTTATTCTTATGTATAATTAGATCTATTTCCATATATATATCTATGTATGATGGAGTCAACAAATTCTGTCTTTAGGCTGAATGAATCTCACGAAAACGTGAAATAAAAAAGTTAGAATCATGTACAGTAACAGTTAAATGTTATTTTGTAAATGTATATATATATATGTATATATATACGGTGTAATTATATATATATATATATATATATATATACATATATTTACATTTTTATTATTTAATTTTTTTCATGATATTTAATCACATTTTCTTCTCTGAATGGTAATTATTGTGATTATTATTGTTGTGTTTTCTTTCATTTTCATTATTCTCAATAGCTATTCATTGTTAAAACAATGACTTTTTAAATTTGAATCTATATATTAATGGCAGTAGAACATATACTGTCATGACGTACCTATATTATACAATGCAAATATTATTTGTTCACATGACAGTAACGGTTAAATGTGCTTAATTGTCATGAAATGCATGCAAAAATTGTTAAGGTCCTAAAAATGGGGTGTTTTCTTAATGCAAAATCTAATTTCTTATTTCTATCATCTGATTACGGCATGAAATGTGATGTTCGTGAGATTCACCCGCCTGCGCGTCGTAAATGAACAATGTCGTTTCGATGTCTGACATAGCAAGACGTAAACGAATGTTAATAAAAAAGCACAATAAATGGAGAACCGAAGCAAAAGTCATGTCCTGAGGTGTCGTCTTGATTCGTTGTTAGTGGTTTGCGATGCAGCATCTGTTTTGGCCAAGCTGGTGTCCTGGAGAAACGCTTCCTTCAGGTAATGATGCGCATTACCCACAATTCCATGGGAAGGGCGTTTGTGTACGTTGTTTAATCACAACTGTCGGTGTTCTTTTCAAAAACTAATGAGCAAAAGCAGCAGTCGGACTGTCAAGAGAGAAAGTAGGAAAGAAGAGGAACATTTTAAAGGTCCGTTCCGCTCGTCCAGTCAGAACACTGTCCACTCTTTAGGGTGTGTCTTCAGGTCGCCTTGTGCAGAGCAAGTTTTACTACTACGAATGGCCAAAAAATCAAACAAAAGTAAGTGTTGCATTATAGGTTATATTAAACATTTTAATGCAAAAATTTGTTAAATTAGGAATGAAATTATGCTTCAATGGCATGTTTATTCCTCCATTGCATGATGGGCCAAATCAAAGGTCATCACAGGCCGACGTTGGTCTGGTTTGGGCATCTCTGATCTAGTGTGTGTGTGTTAGCAGAAACAGACACACTACCGGTCAAAAGTGCGGAATAATTAAGATTCGTAAATGTTTTTGAATAGTCTCACCAAGGCTGCATTATTTGATCCCCCAAAAAAAAACAGTAAAAATTGTGAAATATTTTTAGAAATTAAATCAGCTGTTTTCTATGTGAATATATAGTAAATTGTAATTTATTTCTGTGATCAAAGCTGAATTTTTAGCATCAGTCTTCAGTCACATGATTTATTTTGTTGCTGATTTGATCTTAGTTATTCCAAAATTTACGGTAGTGTGTGACCTTCTAATGTCAGTCTGTACAGTTGCTCTCACAGAGCGTCACTGATTTTAAGATCTACAGTCTCACACTCATTTATGCACTCGGTCAGTCGGTTTCCATTGCAATGACGACCGTGTCAGAGGGCGGAGTCACAGATGAGACAGGCCACGCCTCTTTCCCATCGCCTGGCATCTGTCTGGCTCTGGCCGAACAATCTGGACTATCATGAAGAAGAGTGTCATCCGTCCCAATGGCCGACTCTACCGGTAAGTGTCCTCCTTCTTCCTCCTCCTCGTCATCCTCTTCTTCAGGTTCCACCCGGCAACGGCAAACCTCGATGCCAGAGTCGCCAGTCAGCCGTCGCTGCTGGAAGTGCGTTTGGTCGACGTCCAGGTCGCTCACGGCGGAGTCGCGGCGCTCGGGTTCGACGCCGGGAGAAAACACAGCGGATCTGGGCGGAGATTGAGGGGGCGGAGCTACAGGCTCCTCCCTCTTCTGCTCGGGACGAACGCCAAGCGGATCGGAGATCGAGAACAGGTGCAGAGACGAAGAGGACGAGATCGAAACGCTGGTGATATTCTTCGACGTCGGGCTGTTAGTATTGTTTGCATCACAGATATTGTTAGTATTAATGGTTTGGCATGCATCTAATATGTCAGTAACGTTATCTGTGCTACTAGTGTTGAGGTTCTTCACCGGTTTCGTGTTCCCATTGCAATCCAAGGGGGCGGAGCATGGAAGCCCCGCCCCCTTGGAGCATGGAAGCTCCGCCTGCACGACCTCGATCGGTGATTGGCCACTGTCGTTAAATGGAACGCTCTCGTTGTGCATGACTGCGGCGTGGGCGTGGCCAGACTCGCTGAGGGAGGGCGTGGAGGCGTGGCTTGTGTCGGTCTCATCCGTGAGTTGGGCTGACGAGGGGGAGGAGCTACAGGGTGATGACGGACAGCAGGAGTCACATGAGCAGCTGGTGTAGTTGTCGGAGCTCTGGGATGACATCATGTGACTCGGGCCCGGGTGGGCGGAGCCTCGTGGGTAGGCCACGGAGCTGTAGGGAGGGGGGGGGGGTGCTGGGCTGAGCTGCTACTTCCTCATAGGATGGCAGTTTAAGTGAGGCGAGGAAACCTGCCAATGAGAACTCAAGATTAATATACTTAGTTTAGCTTTGTGCCCGTTTTCATTTAGACTCTTAAAGGGGTCGCACACCGGACGAGAAGCGCAGCGTCGCACATTTTCTCAGTTTATGGCCAGAAAATATTGTTATGTTTAAGGACATTATGAAATTAAGATGTTATTGCTATGTTATGACTGTACTGTACAATTAAATACAATCGTTGTTGAGTCTGCAGTCTGAACACTTTACCTCAGGAGGTCCGTTAACTGAATTAATTGAGAATCTCACCTGAAAATCAGATCATTTTCATCTACGCAGCTGATTTCTGTCAATGAATGTAAAACTAAATGTGTCTTGCAGCACAGGGTGAAGTCAGTATATACATTAACCACGATTTGAGACAAATTTAATGTAAATTTAATATAAAACCATGTAAGTGGCAGGGCAGGATTTTGAACCTGAGCGCTGCCGGTGTGTGTACACACACTCATAGAAAATAATGTGTTTGAATTTTAAAGACGTGCGCTGCGCTTCTCGTCCGGTGTGCGACCCCCTTAACTGTGTAATTTGTGTTCCTCCAACTATTCACAATAATTCTGCTATAGATTTGCACAAAAATAAACAGAGGGGGATTTATTTTGTGATTTTTATATTGTGTTCTGCACTATTATGTTACTAACATGATTTAATTAGCATTGTATATTGCAGTGTGTATTGTGAATTGGGTCTTTGATGAATTGCTTATGTTTAGTTGCTTTTCAGCAAAATGCATTAATGTAATGGAATTATTTGATATTTTATGATATTGCTGATATCTTAATCTACATTTGTGACCCGATCTGGCGAAATGAGTCGGAAGTCGCAACGTTCTATTTTAAGATATGGGCCGATTATGTGGAAAAACAATGAAATAATAGATTTTTTTTTTGTGTGCTAATTTCAAAGAACAGACATTCAAAAATAATCTCCCAAAGTTTCGTAGTCCAGATAATTGAGTAAAGGTATTTAAATTACTATTAAAGTTTACAAAGTTTTACTAAATTCGCTGGAAATGAACATTGCTTTTCTCAACTCCTCTCGTCACCTCTGAGCATTTCCCGGGTATCCCCTGAAACGTCACTATCTCTGCTCTTTAAATGGTGTTACACGTTGTATAGAGCCAATCAAAAAGCTTGTATGTACACAATGTACACAAATGCTGATCATTTGTCGATGGGAAGCCGTTTCGACTGACCGGCACGCGATTGGTCCAGCCACCCTCCTGTCAGTCTCGCAGCGAGCGCTCTGTGTAATAAACAAGCTAGCAGATCTCCTCAGAAAGATTAAATATTATTAATTTGAGAAATGTCGCTGTCAAAAGTGAGCAAAGTTGCCAAAGCGTCATCAAGCCCCCTGGCCATTGCACACTGAGTCCGCGTTTTTTTCGTATGCGTTTTTTCGTATTGATTCGGTGGCTCCGAATTGTCAAAACACCATTCAAAGTTCAAACTGCTTGCTATGGATGCGAAAAACTTACGATTGTTTTTATATAACTGATGAAAGTTTCGTAGTGTGACCGCGTGATTGACATAACGTGATTGACAAATGTGAATGAGTGTAGCTATTTATCTGCAAGTAGAATCCATTACAATGTGTTTGATTAACCCAATATTTAACTGTTGGTATCTCCGTTATGAATTTGTTACGCTGTTATTGTCAACTAGCCTACACTAAGATATGAATGCATAGACTAGCATTATTTGATCTCTGTTTCCTTGTCTCTCTGCCTCTCACTTTCTCTCTCACACACACACACACAGACAGACACACACACCCTCTCTCTCAAGCAAAAATGTAGCACCTCTGTTCAATCTTTCTGATTTTAGTACATTTTTGTAAAAGGTAGGCCTACTGTTAAATTATTTATTCAAATAAAAACTTTAAAATAATTTGAGCTTCAGCCTGGTTTAATAGCATTTATATATTAATGTCTTTGGTCAAATTAAGCTGTAAAATAAGTTTATCCCTTTAAATGTAATGTATTTTGAAAGATATCAACAAAAAACGGGCAAAAAACTTTAAAAGCGATTTTCTCAGGTTTTTAATTGGAAAAAGAGGGCAGACGACCATAATTCAAATGTGTATATCTTTACAACCATTCAAGGTATGACTTTGACTAGGATATCAATTGAAAGCTTATGGTCTCCTCTTTCCATTAATACCAAAATCTCATTTTTTAAATTTGGGTCACTGTGACTCATTTTGCTGGATCAGGTCACATTTAGATTTCTGGGAAAATATTTTTGTTTAAACCAAGGCACTTATATAATTACAACTTCTGTTTATTTTTAAATTATTTGTTTATTTATTCATCTTTCTTTTCTTTTCTGCATTTCAGAAGCTTTTCTTTAGCTTACCAATGTAGTTTATGCTAAACCTGGCATTGTGCACTTGAATATTTGATAAATATTGAATGAGTATGTAGTTTTATGACAAATTCCTAATTTGTAAGTTGGATAAAAGTGTTTTCTAAATGAATAAATGTAAATAAGCTCTTAAAGGCTTTTTTCTTACTGTTCCAGCACTAATATTGTATATTTATACATTTGTGCTTCAATTGTATAATTCTCTGCAAATTAAATGAACAAAAGAGAGTCGTGAGAGTCACAATTCTGAATTTTCCACTTTCTTTTTGTGCGTGTGTGTGTGTGTGTTTCTTTAAAGTAATTTTATATTTGTTTTTCTGGTCGATATGACAGTGGTTTTGGACACCCAGCGAAGTGGATGCAACATCACGCAAAAGCATGACAAAAAAAACAAGATTAATTGAGGATTTCACCTCGTGTGAGTGAACAGTTTATTTTATTTATTCGAGGATGTATGTTATAATTTTTATGATTGAAACGTTTTTATGAAGATAAAAATAACTGAGTGCAGCTTTTACCCTGAGATTTTCAAATACAATATTTTTTTCAAATGTCCAATAATTTGCATCCAAGTGTGAATATTTTTTTGTATGTAATGAGTAGTCAGCTGTATAGTCTCCATTTCTAACCAGTATTTTAAGTATTTTTATATTTAAGCCACTACAAGTGCAATAATTTACGCCAAACTTTATAGTTTTATTCCTATCTATATTCTGAAGGTTTTTACTGAGGGGTTTGTTCATATATCATTCACACTGATTTATATAACATTTTATTCCCAAAAACATGGTGAAAATGTATTTATTTCTGGCTGTTGACAGTATTTTCTGATTCATGCAGTGATGAAAAGAGATATCCAAAATCCCCTCAGTAAAATCCTTTAACTCTAATATGTCAACTTAATCAAACATGAATTTTGATCCTGGCTTGATCCGATGTTCAGATTTATTTTCTGGAAATGTATACAAATTAGTGCATATTTAAGTAGATAGTGTCTCATTTGTATATTTAAACCTAAACTTGTAATACAAAACAATTGTCTTAATTTACTGTGATTAATCGACTGGGGAATTATGGTGATATCTGTTAGTTAAAATTTGAAACGCTTTTAGAGTGCAACTTTAACCTCCATTTTAAAAAATGGAGCAAAATCAAGTCTTATAATTTGCATCAAAGTGTGAATTGTTTTAGAATATTTTTTGTGCAAATAAACTGCAAAAAATGCTTTTCTTACTTAGTATTTTTGTCTTGTTTCCAGTCCAAATATCGAACATTTCTTAAATCAAGATGCATTTACTAGAGGAGTAAAATAACATAAGATATTATGTCCTGTTTTCCGGAGGAATTAATCAAAATTAAGTGAGTTGATGCTTAAAAAAAGCAAAATGATCTGCCAATGGGGTGAGAAAAATAATCTAAATTCAAACAGAAACAACATTATTATTTTTCTTACCCCATTGGCAGATAATTTTGCTTTTTTTAAGCATCAACTCACTTAATTTTGATTAATTCTCCAGAAAACAAGACATAATATCTAATGTAATTTTACTCCTCTAGTAAATGCATCTTGATTTAAGAAATGTTTGATATTTGGACTGGAAACAAGACTAAAATACTAAGTAAGAAAAGCATTCTTCTCAGTGTGTGTTTGTGAGCATGAGTTAGGAGCAGTTCTTACTGAGGTCAAACATGGAGGACGGGTAACTGCACGCCCCATGGTAGGCCATGAGGTTGATCTCTCTCTGTCTCTGCTGCTGTTGGACTCGCTGCTTCGCCTGACGGTGACGATACGCACAGCAACAGCTGAACAGGATTAGCACACTCCACAGCAGCCAAAACCCTGAAACACAACCAACAATACTTAAAGGAGCAGTTCGGCTTGAGGGTGAGTAAATCATCGGGTAATTGAACATTTTAAGGCTTTCTGAAGCAAAGCGATGAGTTTGTGCAAGAAAAATATTCATATTTAAAAGTTTATAAAGTAAAATAACTAGCTTCCGGCTAAAGCACAACTTACGCGAGTAACACCGTGTCTACACGCAACTACACGCAACGCGCGATAAAAGCTATTTTTTCCATGTTAATCAGAGTTTTTGTCCTAGCCAGCCGCAACACGCGACAATTCTATTTTAGAAGCGGTTTCTATTTTTCTGCGACGTCACGCTGGTACAACAAACACAAAGTGTGGCAATGATAATCTCAGGTACTGTTTATGTGCTTTATTTAATGTTAAAAGCGTGTAATGTGCCTTTGAATATCATTTAGTGCTCCAGCTTTGTAGCTGTAAAAGCAAGAAAGGATAATTCACCTCAGATCTTGAAATTAAACAAATGGAAACAGACAAACAAAAACGTTCAAACTGTGAATGACTTGAGGGTGAGTAAATCATGGGCTAATTTTCATTTTAAAGTCAACTACTTCTTTGAAGAATAAAGGCATCACTAGCTAGTGATGTATGTCTCGAGACCGGTCTCGAGACCACTTTTACGTGGTCTCGGTCTTGTCACGGCCTTGACTGTCTTTGGTCTTGGTCTTGTCTTGGTCTCGGACCTCTCGGTCTTGTCTAGGTCTCGTTGTCTCAGACCGACATAGTGGTCGGGGGATTTAGCAATATCAATATCCACGACGATATCCGCAACGGATTGAAGCGCGCGTCCTGAAGACAGTGCGGTGCGCGAGCCGTATCCGCGCCACTGATCGCAGCGGCAACGAGCACTTTGATCACTTGATTTAAAAAACACATAGGCTATCATGTACAGTTTTTGATGTATTAATATTTAGTAAAACACATATCAGTGACATGATGGGTTTTAACTTCATTCAGGAGATTTTGGGTAACTGCACAACTGACAGATGACTTTGAGCGCACCGCCAACGGTGTGTGTGTGTGTGTGTGTGTGTGTAACCATAGCGACAAAACAACCAACTTTCGGATCCTGGACTTTAGCTTAGAATTTCGTTTTAAAAAATATAATTATGTATTTAAAAGTTGCAGAATGGATTCATTTGGAGACTTCGAAATCGGCAGAGATAGGCAGGCAATGCAAAACAAAATCTTACAAGTTATTGCTTAGCTTCAACAACATTAGTCCGTTTTTTCCCCCCTCCGGTCTCAGTCTTGGTCTCGACTTGGTCTCGGTCTTGGTCTTGACTTGGTCTGTCTTGGTCTCGACTTGGTCTGTCTTGGTCTTGTCTTGGTCTCGATACCCTCTGGTCTTGGTAGTGTCTTGGTCTCGGTTTAGGCGGTCTTGACTACAAGTCTATCACTAGCTCTGTTTCCATTCAACGTTGCGAATTTAACTTATTTGCGAATAAAGCAACATTTGCATCCCATTTGTTCAAGAGAACAAAATCGTCACTTCCTAGGAAATTATAAAATATCTGTATAATAAGGTTTCATTAGTTAACATTAGTTTATGAATGAACTAACATGAACTAACAATGAACAAAACATTTGTTACAATATTCATTAATCTTTGCTAATAAAAATACACTCGTTCATTGTTTGTTCATGTTAGTTCACAGTGCATTAACTAATGTTAACAAATACAACCTTTGATTTTAATAATATATTAGTAAAAATAAATGCTGTAGATGTCTTGTTCATTCTTAATTCATGTTAACTGAAGTAGTTAACTAATGTTAACTAATTAAACCTTATTGTAAAGTGTTACCAAATAAACCAAATCATTCAGATGACAGACTTTGACTCACTTTCAGAACCACCAAACCAACATATGAGATGCTGTGATGTGATTGGTCCGCTGGTAAGTCCAGTTATCCAATCACAGGCTTTGTTGAGTTTGTTGTTGCATATCAGGGATTTGTTCGGTAAATGTGTTTCCAGTTAATATGCATGTCTTCTTATCAGATAAAGAAAATTATTCACCTCAATTGAGTGCACAAGTTTTTAATGTGTATTTTTGAGTTTATGCTTTTATATTTTATATCCCAAAATTTGCATAAAAATCGGTGGATGGAAACAACTATTTATGCAGAATGCTAATCATTCATTCAGTCATGTATCGTCACACAAACCTGAATATATTCCGTGATGTTTTGTGCACGTACTGTGGCCTATGTTTGGCTTTTCTAAATGTTGAATCTATTGATGTTTTCGAGAGCAGACTCTTTGAATAAGTTTGTCATATTTAGATGTGATGATTTTTTATTATGGTCTTTTATTTTCTTTTTCAAATTTCTCTTTCTCTGTACAGTCTTTTGGTCTACCTTTGAAAGTGCGTTAACTCAAGCTAAGTGCGTTAATTATAATCAGATGCTTTCTTTTTAAAAAGCTGCTTGAAACCAACAATTGTTGATTGACAAGTGTGTAGACGATCCACAGGGGCAGATAAAGTCACATCGTCATTTACACATTATTATGGACTAATAAAGATGACAGAATCTATTGTATTGTAAGTAATGAGTAATCAGTTGTACAGTCTGCATTTCTAAGCAGTATTTTAATAGTGTTTTTATATTTAGGGCAAGACAATATATGCAAAAACATTGTTCTTTCAGGCACTAGCATTTTGGCCTATTTTGCTTCTACACTCACCTAAAGGATTATTAGGAACACCTGTTCAATTTCTCATTAATGCAATTATCTAATCAACCAATCACATGGCAGTTGCTTCAATGCATTTAGGGGTGTGGTCCTGGTCAAGGCAATCTCCTGAACTCCAAACTGAATGCCAGAATGGGAAAGAAAGGTGATTTAAGCAATTTTGAGCGTGGCATGGTTGTTGGTGCCAGACGGGCCGGTCTGAGTATTTCACAATCTGCTCAGTTACTGGGATTTTCACGCACAACCATTTCTAGGGTTTACAAAGAATGGTGTGAAAAGGGAAAAACATCCAGTATGCGGCAGTCCTGTGGGCGAAAATGCCTTGTTGATGCTAGAGGTCAGAGGAGAATGGGCCGACTGATTCAAGCTGATAGAAGAGCAACTTTGACTGAAATAACCACTCGTTACAACCGAGGTATGCAGCAAAGCATTTGTGAAGCCACAACATGCACAACCTTGAGGCGGATGGGCTACAACAGCAGAAGACCCCACCGGGTACCACTCATCTTCACTACAAATAGGAAAAAGAGGCTACAATTTGCAAGAGCTCACCAAAATTGGACAGTTGAAGACTGGAAAAATGTTGCCTGGTCTGATGAGTCTCGATTTCTGTTGAGACATTCAGATGGTAGAGTCAGAATTTGGCGTAAACAGAATGAGAACATGGATCCATCATGCCTTGTTACCACTGTGCAGGCTGGTGGTGGTGGTGTAATGGTGTGGGGGATGTTTTCTTGGCACACTTTAGGCCCCTTAGTGCCAATTGGGCATCGTTTAAATGCCACGGCCTACCTGAGCATTGTTTCAGACCATGTCCATCCCTTTATGGCCACCATGTACCCATCCTCTGATGGCTACTTCCAGCAGGATAATGCACCATGTCACAAAGCTCGAATCATTTCAAATTGGTTTCTTGAACATGAGTTCACTGTACTAAAATGGCCCCCACAGTCACCAGATCTCAACCCAATAGAGCATCTTTGGGATGTGGTGGAATGGGAGCTTTGTGCCCTGGATGTGCATCCCACAAATCTCCATCAACTGCAAGATGCTATCCTATCAATATGGGCCAACATTTCTAAAGAATGCTTTCAGCACCTTGTTGAATCAATGCCACGTAGAATTAAGGCAGTTCTGAAGGCGAAAGGGGGTCAAACACAGTATTAGTATGGTGTTCCTAATAATCCTTTAGGTGAGTGTATATCTATGTATGTCTTCTTTCAGAGTAAAACTGAACAAGTAAAAAGGGGAAAATATCATAAATACACATTTAGGTGTTTTATTGCACTTTATCTATTTGCATCTGTAGATTTCAATTACAATACATATCTTTAAAGAGTTTATTCTCCACTTCTGTAGCACTTACAAACACCAAAATTTACAGTTTTATTCCTGTCTATATTCTGAAGGTTTTTACTGAGGGGTTTGTTCATATATCATTCACACTGATTTATATGACATTTTATTCCTAAAAAAAAGTTTTATTTTCGGGCTGTTGACAGTCTTTTCTGATTTATGCAGTGATAAAAAGAGATATTCAAAATCCCCTCAGCAAAATCCTTTAACTCTAAAATGTCAACAAAATCAAAAAAGAAATTTGATCCTGGTGTTATCCAATGTTCAGATTTATAATCTGGAAATGTATGCAAATGCGTGCATACTTAATTAGATAGTGCCTCATTTGCTTATTTAAACATAACATCTCAGAAAACTTAACATACTGTGTATTAATATACTGTAATTAATAAACTGGGTAAATATGGTAATACATTAGTTTAAATTTTTACCCTATTCTTAACAGGAACCAAAAAATTCAACCCAAAAATGAATCAACATGCAAGATTCTAAGAACGAAAGTCGTACGAGTTTGGAATGACATGAGGGTGATTAAATGACATAATTCGCATTTTAATCCAGTTTACAGGGAACATTCTCAAAGTTTTGAACATACGCTCTTCCAGGAACGTTCATAATTGGCCTTTAATAATGTTCTCAAAACAGCACAAAAGCATTATGTATACATAATTTACGGTATCCTTTTTTCTGAAACCTTTTAGTTGGATGTTTGTCTAATATTTTTAAATGTTACTACTTGTTTCAGAACATTCAGAAAACATTGAAAAGTAACGTTCCCGTAATGTTTGAAGAATGATAAAATAGAATGTTGACAAATTTCCTATGCATTCTAATACTACCGTAAAGA